GTTAACTCACCTGAGGAAGGATTCAAATAAATCCGAAACGTTGTGGATAAAAACTGGTTGTGGTTTTTTGAGATGACCTATTATCCCACCTTCAAGAAGGAAGAATCATAAGATTAACTGTTGACGTCAAAATATAAGAAAACATCGTTTCACCAAAACTTCATTTTTAAGTATTGCATAACCCGGGCAGGCAATAAATATTTAAGCTAGACTCACCCATGGAGCAAGGTTCTTTTTTTTCCCAAAAGGACAACTGTTCGTCCACTACGCAACCTAACTCAATAAAATACTATTTCACTTGGGAATCCCAATTATACATAACTATATTATTGAACATGCTGTACATTTATAATAACCTCTTACAGCAAACCGTTTTAGACGTACTAAACACTTTTATTAGCCAATTTAAAGCAAGCGTAAATGAATAATGTCTGCTTCGACTGCCAGCTTCCTTTCCGGCGTCTTTGATAGTAAGTCCAATTTAAATTGAATTTGCGAGCAAAAGGCTCTGCGGTAACTTCAACGAACTTGTGATTGACACGGTAACGAGTTGTACGATCGGGTCATGTTAATCGTTTTTAAACCTATTAGTAGAGGTGGTCTCAGAGCCTGTTGTGGTTTAAAGAGAAAAGGACCTGCGGTTATCTGTTGAACATGTTTAGCGAAGGAATTAAACAGAGGGTAAAGGAAGCAGGCCCCTTGAATAACTAGACCGGTTGGGAGTGTACTGGGTTTAATTCGATTCATCCCGAGCATTATCGCATTTATAAAACTTGGCTGATCCCGAGAGGCACGCTCTTTATCTGAAACGACTTAAGATAACATTTTTTATACATCTGCACGGTTATCCACGCGTAAAGGGCTCATTATATTGTCTCACGATACGAACAGGACATGGAAAAACTTGATATTATGTAAACAAGATTTCATATTAGTGAACATTCGAATTGTACATGCGATCAACTAATTGACCAAACATGGGATCATTTAATATATTTCACTGTTCAAACCTTTCCGACCGACTTAATACTGAATACAACTTCAACAGAACATGGATGGCCACTATCAAGACATATATTAATTTCACTAGAAATTTTAAATGATGAAGTATTTTAATTAATCAAAAATACTTAATTCATTTGCAGTTTTATGTTTTATTTAAATGTGTGGTATTTAGTGATCGTTAGTTAATGATAATTTGGAGATTGTGAGATGTGGTCTGTTTGATGTAGGTTTTAGAAAAACATTTTCTTTATCGTGCCAACGTTTCGATCTTTAGTGAGATCATCTTCAGGGCCTGGGATTTATAAATATTGTTTAAATTTTACAAATACATGTAGGATGTAATGTTTTTACATCATACATTCCAAATATATATTAATTATTAATGTGTCGTGATTGTTAGTGACCGTTAATCAATAATTATTCCAAAATCGTGAGATGCGGTCAGGTGTGATGTAGGTTTCAGAAAAATATTTTTTTTATCGTGCCAACGTTTCGATCTTTATTGAGATCATCTTCAGGGCTCGTGTTGAGAGTAGCACTCAAGAATGGCACAATTACTCAGAAGACAAACACTTTGAGCCCTGAAGATGATCTCAATAAAGATCGAAAATTTAGCACGATAAAGAAAATGTTTTTCTGAAACCTACATCACACCTGACCGCATCTCACCATTTGGGAATAACTATTAATTATTAAATTAATTATATGATTCAATATATTAATTATTCCATTCAATCCAATTGATTTTTTTCCATTTTCTCGACAGAAGAAAATTCTGCCCTTAATTTGTTTCATTGTTTTTACCAATAAATATTTGTTTATGCTAGGTTTTATATTGGGAATATCAATTAGAGGTAAATAAACTTAATACTTAATCCAAAACAAGGATAAAGGATAGTTCAATGTTTACTTTTTTCGCAATTTAAAATGTTTATTCAGCCTCATGGACTTCTGAAGCAATAAACTGTAGTTTTGATCTTTGTTTTCTTAATTTCAATTTTTAAACTTAAAAATGCTACTTAGTGCTGAGGATGTAGCGGTTGGTGTGGCATTTATTGAGGATGGACGATCCATCAGGTACACGGCTGACACGTCATTAGCCGTTTTCGAGAAACTGGGTCCTACCATAGAAAGTCCGGTTATGGACGCCATAGGGTAACAGAACAACAGGAGGACCGTTTTTTGACTTTGAGAATTTTGCAAATAGGCGCCTTACTGTAGTTCAAGCGATTCATCAGCTCAGGAAGTTCGAGGTGTCCAAATTTGAGAACGCACTGCTCGAAGAAGATGAAATCAGTATGGACAGATGGCTTTTCGCCCTGATAGAAGTCCAGAATTGACCAGAACACACAGAGTTGCAAGACTCGCAATTGCTCGAGAACACAGCCGTTGGTCTTTGGCCGATTGGTCTGCTCTACTTTTTACAGATGATAGTAGATTTGCTCTACGATCTCCGGGCGTGAAAGAGTGTGGAGAAGACGAAATGAAAGGTACGAAGTTTGTAATTTTTCCCATAGCCAACCTTTTCAACGTAGCTCAGTGATGGTGTGGCCGGGAATTTCAACGGAGAGTCGCGCAGAGTTGGTGTTCTTTGACGGCCACTCGCGATGTGGATGAAATTTTGGAACATCAGGTGTTGCCTATCCTCGATGAAATCAGCGACAACCCTATTCTAATGCACGGTAATGCCCGTCCATATGTTACTAGGATAGTACAAACACCTTCAACAGCATTGCATCAGGGTCTTAGCCTAATCGGGAATTGAACCTTTTTTTTACTTTTTATTCAAAGACTCAATTATTAAACCTTAAAAAACGTTAAACTTTGATTAATATATAAAAATACAAATCAATTTATATTAAAATTGTGTGGAATTTTTTGCCTGTCAGTGTACTTCATGTTACACGTGTTAGTTTAGTAAATAAATTCCCTCATAATGGGGTTACTGTTATGAGGGAAAAATATTGCCTGTTACTAAATACTATAATTTTCCCTTCATTAGAAAAAAAATCTGACGCATTTTGGTGAATTTATTTGTTTTGTCGGCAAATTGATACCAATTATCCTGGGTCCGCTTGTTATCGCTGAAAGGATAGGTAAAACACATGTTGACATTCCGCCGATCCCGGCAAGACAATCCTCTCGTGCGTTTTTTTAATTCTTGACGATTAAAAGATAATTAGCATCGTCACTTCTTTACATGTAATAAGTGGTTCCAAATCCTTGGAAAAATAAATAAATAACATAAAAGAGAAAGAATAAAATAAAAAAAGAGAATCTTACAGGCCTAAGCATCTGTATTGATGAGTAGCAAAAGCAAGCTCGTCAGCCGAAACGGACGCGTGCTGGAGGTTATTTTGGGAGAGAGTATTCCCTCCTCTCAGTGAGATAATCCCGTCGAGTCATCAACCAAATCACCCCAGAAAGACGCAGACTCATGCCGGCCCAATGTAGACAAATACAAATTCTGGGTATATTTCGCACCGAGGAAGTGAATTTTCAATTTTAAGCACTTGGCCCGTACGAAAATATATTCCTCCTGTATATAATTTACCACGATAACATGTAACTTAAGAATTTTCGTACCTATACCAGAACAGTATTTCTAGACGACTTTGAATTGAAGTCATAAAACATTTTCTACCGCTTAATCTTTAACAAAAATATCATTTTTATTGTTTGCTAATGTTTCTTAGCAAACTAAACCTGTGTAATGAGAACGTACACGGTTTTTCAGAAATCAATAATCACACATCTTTGTTGTAACATAGTACCAGTATTAACATATTAAACCTTTAATATTTAAATTTCTTAGTCAGTTGGAATAATGAAATCGACTGACAGTGCAAATAAGGCAGGGTTTATCCCTAATTACTCTCGAGGAATATAGAGTACTCTGGTGTAGTTAGAATGAATGTGTGAATGTAATTTATTAGCGTGAATGTATGGGCTTATTCCCAATTTCCGCGAGGTATATCGAAGATTATGGAGTAGTGTAAACTAAGTGTGGTGTGTAAATGTAATTTATTAGCGTGAATGCTAGGGTTTGTCCCCAATTACTCCGGGGAATATAGAGTACTCTGGGGCAGTGTGAATGAACGTTTTTATCTTGTTTCTGTGTATTTGTGTGTATTTTTCGACACTTGATGAGACCCTGATGTATAGAGGCTAGCAATAGGTTAAGAAACGGATAAAGAAGAAAGGGAGTTGGTTACTGTTACAAAAATATGATTACTTGGCCGGAGAAAGAGTAAAAGAAATTGATAGGTTTAAAACGCGAGAAAGAGTCCCAATGTAATATAAATAAATAAATCCCAATAAGTAATAGTAAATAAATACCAACAAAGTACCAATATTTTATTTTGGCATATAGAGTCAATATTGTCAGCAATTTCATATTAGAAAAGCAATTAGCTCGAAGTTTACGTTTATCACGTAAAAATAAATTTAGAATAGATGTGATTTGAACCATTTTATTTTAGTTTAAAAGACCTAAACAATATAAATTTTATTTGAAAAAAAAATACGCGTGAAAGATGGAAAATGGACTGTCGTTGGAGGGCAGGCGAAGACCGCAGGTGTTTGTAAAATCGGTAATACGAAAAAAAGAAGAACACGCTGAATAAAAATAAACAAGTTGGAAACATTTTCTAGAAGCTGAAAATTGTCTTTCGCAGCAGTGAAGTAAAGGCAAACCCTTGGACTTCTGACCAAACTTAAATAACAATTTTCGGTTATCAGTCAACATCATCAGCTTAAACGTTAGAAAGCAGAATCGGAAATTTTAAGTCGTATTGAATATATTCGATGGTCGTACATGATAGTTTGCCGACGCTCTTCGGTTCTTTATATGTATTAAACAAAAATACATATAATTATAAATAATTCAATCTCAGGGAAGGTTATCTCTCACGTAGGAAAACAAAAAAATAAATTGGTTCAGCTATGGGGGAGGGTGAGGAATCCCGAGGTAAATTACAGGGTAGCGCGCTTACCTTGGAGAAGCCGATATTGGGGGTTGGCATCTGGTGAAGGCCGTGGTGGCTCTCGTGCCTCTTGAAAACTGAAACAAAACAGTATTTTTATAAATAATTATTTTATTTGTTAATAATAATATTTTTAATATTTTAAGAATATTAATGGCGATATCGACGGTTTATGTTGTCCACAAGTATAATGATGCTTTTTATCCAATGTTGACATTTAACGAAAAATTTTATAAGGTCAAAATGCTATGGTGACGACAAAAGATACTAGAAATATCGAAATAAATTTAAATGATATATACCTAAACTATGTACACATATGGCGCCATTGCCTGGGCCGGTAAAGTAGAACATATAACAAAACGAAGAAAATACAGAGACTTGCATGCATCTGTATAACGGGAGCAGTGAGAACATGTCGCACAGCTGGTATGGAGAAGATACTGGAATTAATCCCGCTCCACCACATGATAAGGACAGCATAGAAAACTGTTATTAGTTTTATCAAAGGGAACACTCCAATAAGAATAAATGGAGAGATAGCAACAATCTAATAAAAGACCATCCGATACTCATGGTCCCAAGAGACGACATGAATAGGGCGTTTGAGTTTAACCAAAATTTCCAAATGAACTTAAGTACCAAATAGTTATTCAGATATCGTGAGATACCAAAAAGGAACTTAGGTACCAAATGCGAAAGAGAGAAAAAGACCTTTAAGAATGGCACCATCTACTGGTACACGACGGATCTAGAATGGAAGGAGGTGCGGAGGCAGGAGTATTCGGTCCAGGAACCAAATACTAAGAACCCATGTGAAAATACACCCGTATCGTCCAAGCTGAGGTTCATGCAATTGAAAGATGTACCTAATTCAATGTGAATAAATGGTAAAAAAAATATAGCTATCAAGTCCGACAGCCATCAAGTTAAAACACCATTAGCTTAAAGATGTGCAACATAGAGATAGGTACGCTAGGTCTAGATTTGAAACTTTTGAAGGAGAGGACATCATTAAATCACTCCCCGAGATAAAATGGTCCAAAATCTTGGGGTTTGTGAACAGGTCCAAGAGGTTTATGCAGGACATGTGAGCCGACCAAGTCCCGGACCTTTTAGGGATGGATTACGAGTCTACCCAGGTATTTAACCCCTCAGGTCTTGGTCGCCCACACTGCATAATATATATATATATNATGTGCTATAAATTTGGTTAGTTACACTACCTACACGAAAATAAGTTTGTTAAAATTTCATCACTTAAGTATATTATAGTTCGACTCGCATTAAAATATTTTAGACTTTACATACTGAAAATATGTAGAAGTGAGAGGCGTCATTTGAAAAATCAGTTTTTATACCTTAGCAATATCCCTTATAATATTTAAATGTCGATGTAAATAACAGTACGCCATATATGTTAAATACACTAGACATATCATTTCTTTTTTAATGATGGAGATCATATTCAGGATTAGTTCTTTATCAGGCCCATATCTGGTATATATCGGAACATAATGTTTTCTCCTCTGAACCGCTGATTAATATGCAGCAGGGCCCAAATTTCTTAAAGTGAAATTTTCGCACCCACCTATCTAACCATTTATTTATCTATAACTTGTATCTATGCTTCGTATGTTAATGTTCGGATCTCTTTTCCACCGGGGTACAGTTATGGCTTTAAGATTGAGGAATCGGATGTGCATGAATAATGCAGTGGCAACAAGTTTTTTCAGGACATTTCAACGTTGGATTTGTAATAGCAAATGGGCATACAATCGTGCCAGATTGTCGTCGGCGTTAAATATTCTTCGTCTGAGGATTTCTACAGTATTGACCGTACCGTACAAGTCAAAAGCTACGATAAAAAAGTTCTTGTAATCAGCGATATGAACCAACATTCTCGAGGATCTCTTGTCTATTTAACAAGAGATCACAGAGGGTGGGGTTCTAACGTGACGGAATTTGTAGCCGGCATCCCTTCGTCCACACACGTAGCGTGTAATGACGCTGGGCAAAGTCCCTCAGACAGCCTTGTCCACTACAATTTGACTGGCAGCTTTTCTGTCCCATTATTCGATCCTATCCCCAAAGGCCTGGTCTCGTACCCCCAGAATTTCAGAATTGTTTATTTAAAAAAAAAGCCATATTTTTAAGGTTAGGGGGGTTTCGATTGGTTGACTTTTCATCAGACCAAATTTCATCCGGTGGATTCTATAGTACCACTTTTTCATAAACTTCTTGTACCATTAATTTAGCCGTTTTTTATTAGTATTTCGACTAAACTTATTAAATGGTTGATTATGACTTCATGAGATTATGAATGGAACCACCATATTCGAAAGTTACCTTAGCTTGTGAAATTAACTTACTGAAACTGTTTCATAAAGAATTGAGTCCGCTTTTCATTTCAATTAACATTAACTTATTATTGTTGAATTAATCCACTTGTTGATCTACTCAATTTTGTTAAATTATTATTGTGCTTGAACGACTGAAGCGGATCAAGAAGATTTTACGTCTTCACTATGAGACTTATGGACATCTTAACTTAATGGACAAGTTAACTCTTACAGTCGGATTAGCGAAACGCAAAAATTTATGAAAAATCTGATTGGATTTCGATTGGATGTTGTGCCATTAGACTTGGGTCGTCGCGGAAGTAGGAGAAAGCTGGTTCGGATAAATCTACAATAGCCTTTCACCCCAGGCTATAACCCCGCGAAAATCGTGATACGCCCTTTGATTTACTGCAGGGACCCTGAGATGATTGCCTTTCTTCCTCCCCCCCGTTTGTATAGCAGGTCATTTCGTTTTCAAAAACGAACCGGGATTATGGATGCCTTTCTGTATCCTGGCTGCTACGTAATGTGAGACTCGTGGAAAAAAGTTTCTACTTAATCGCCCCCTTCATCGGAAAAAACGCATTCGAATCCTAAAAAAACTATAAAAAGGCAGCATAATATTTCTAAATGCCCAAGAAAAGCACTAAATGAATTTTTTGATGGTAAAGAGAAATTAATTTAAATTAACTTCATTTCTATGACTGTACCATTTGACGTTAGTTACGTAATTGTAAACTGTTTTACTACATAGTCTATATTTATTAGAATTTCGTAAATGAATTTGATATAAAAAGAAGTGGTTTAAAAAATGGTTGAATTAGTTCTTGTTTTTCCAATTTTTCTAGGATCTGTTTTAACAACACCTCATGCAACTTATGTGGACTTTTATAACTCAAGTTGAAATAGATTCTAATTTCAAGCTGTTGGGCGCAGAGTGCTATCGCAGTTTCGATTATTGTTTAATTACTTTTAACATAAAAAAAGAAATGAAACTTAAAATTCTCTTTAATATAGCTATAGGTATCCATAAATCGTCAGTTGAATAAATTGCCATAAACAATAAAGTGAGAGTTTCTGGGAGAACAAACAAAAAATCTCCAAAAGAATAGGGACGTTTTGCATAACGTTAACGTGAACGGTAACGCTAAATTGATTGAATGAATCCGCAGATTTAACGGTACGTTGTCCGAAATTGTCTTCAGTTGTTAGTTATTTGTCTTAGAATAGCGTGTTTGTTAACGGTTAAAGGTTAACGTTTTTTTTTTCATTTTTAGATTCGCTTTACTCACACTACAAAAATATAAAATTTGCATTAGAAACAGAAAAAAAACCAATATAATATACTATCTAGATATAACTAGATATAAAAACTAGCACGCTAAAGAAACTCACGCTCAAATCATTTTTTAAAAATCAAATAAATATAGCTCTTAGCCTTTCTCACACAGATTATTGGAAATATTTACCAATTACAACATTAAATGTTTTGGTTGTTGAACATCAAAATAAAATAAATAGTTTTATCTGCCCCTCAATACAAGGCATTAGAAAGATAAAAAAATTATGTAATTTACTCAATTAATTGTGACGAACGTGATAAAATATATATCGGTTAAAACAAAAAATATAGGTAATCGGTTGAATAACCATAACAATGATATAAAACATTTTAAAAAAGTAACAGCCCTTTCTCAACATATAAACTACTCAAAACATACACCCAATTTGAAATTTGGATTTTGAATAAAAACCTTTTAAAAGACAAATCTTATAAAATTAAATTAAGGGAAAACTAAATTAAAAAACTGATAAAAACCAAATGTAAAAACCTACCAATTTGTTTGAAAAAATAAATAAAATCTTTATAAATTTATTCAATAATAAAAAACCTACAAATTTATTTGAAAAAATAAAATAAATCTTTTTAAATTTATTTAAAACTTTACAAAAATACATAAATTACATAAGTAAATTTTTCTTTTTTTAAACATTACTTAAAAATAATACACAAATGTATATAAAGAAACGTCATTTACAAATGCAAGACGGTCTTATATTTTAAAATATAATGTGGATAATAATAAATAACAATAATTTTAAATTTAATATAAGGTAGGTTTTTTAAGAAAATGTAAAATATGAATATCATTGTTGGGAATTACAAATTACCGAAACGTCGAAATAAACATAAATAAGTAATGTATTTACTATTTTGTTTAAAAAAAACTACATAGAAATTTTTCCAAACATAAACCAAAAAATTTAATAATATGTATTATATATGTGGCAATATAATAAAATTGTTTGTTCTGTATTTAATATTTTACATATCGTACAATATTTCATGAATTCCGGACTACTAAGAATGTTGTATATTTGGTGTTCTATCATTTACATACAAGCAGAAGTGACAGAAATACAGCAACCTTACACATCTTTTCCTTGAGCTTACAGTTTGAAAATTGTCTGAAAATGCTATGATTTTGAGCCAAAAAAGACAGTGGATTTTGGGACAACGCACCAGGCTTCCACCTATAGAAAGATGGGTTTGAGGTCAATGAAGGAATGACCCTTTCCATACTATATAATATATAATACAATAGAATTGTGAGTAGTAAAACTACCGTTGAGATCCGTCAAGCGTTTCTTGACTTTTTGACAATAAAGGGCATGAAATTTTACCTAGTAGTTCATCAGTACCAAATTATTGTTTACTAACGCAGAAATAAATG